GCTTACCCACAATCCCCCATAGTAGTTCCTTTTGGGGATTACCGAATAGGATCCTAAACATAAGCCACAAAAAAGGAACTACTATGGGGCTTGTGGGTAGCCCCCTCGCACTTCACTCAGATTGCACGACTCATCGAAGAGGGCTGTAGGTAAGCGGACATGAAGCATGTCTCTGACTGATTGCAGCACTCGCCTTTGGGCCGCGCAGGTCGAGAGCTGCCAGCCGCGCGTCTCCGAAAAGGATGGGAATCAAAGGACAGGCTTTTGGGGTCTACCGCTCAATCTGTCAGGCCTGAAAGATGAAAACATGTTTTGACCATCATGGCAAGACTAGTGACTAGAGGAGATGATGCGCTGTGTTGGCACCTTGTGCACACTGTGCCGATGTGCGTCCTTTAGGTCACATGTAAACCGTCAACTGACTACGGATGAAAACAAAGGTACAACCAGCACAGGCCTAAAGGCAAGACTAATTCTCGTAGCGTCTGGGAATGTATGTGTATATGTATATACATACGTAATGTAAACAGGTATATACCTATATATATATATATGTATAGATGCATGATACCCCCTCGAATTGACTTCTCTCGGGACTCGAAGATTTGTTTTTTTGCAAAAGCATATGAAGCTGCGAATGCAAAATAAGTAAGATCGCAAGACCTGCTGTGGATATTGAAAATGCTTGTTCTATTATATGGTGCGAGTATTGCATACTTGTTGCTTTTTACCTAAGGAACATATGTGGATACAGGCTTATTCATCATGTGTTTTATATACAACATCAGCAATAACGACTAGAGTGGCAAAGCGGCAAGATAATCCTTTGGCTATGTTCATGCATGTAGTCTCCTGTTGCGGTAGCAAATATTTCCAAAGCAGCCCAAACTAGTGGACGCTGTTGGTGTAGACACAACTCAATGCAAACTCATCGTCTACAAACGTGGATTCCATATACACACATGACTAACCCATAATGCATTTGTAGAATCAGCACTTTCATGAGAGCATACATAAAACGTAAAATTGCATGTGGCCATCTAACATATGTTGTCAATATGCTGCTTTGTGAACTTTAACACTCAGTGTGTAGACATACCTCTATATGTACATTTTTTTATGCCTACCTATCCAACTATGTGGATATCGGCAGCATTGACATGTACATATGTGGAAACACCTGCAAGAAGAATCAGGATACATATGGACACATCTATGAACAAATGGGTGCATTCATTGCAAAGGCAAGACTGACATACATGCTGCGTATTTGATACGAACGTTTGTACAAGATAAACTTTCTATACGGAGAATAGTAGTGGAATCCGTAGGCGTATACCCACAAGAACAACTCATCATGTCTATATATAGAATCAGCGCTGTCATAGGAGCATACGTAATTTGTAGTTTCGCATGTAGCCCTACTCAAGGTCTGCTGCAAAACTTTCCATGTGTATATCGTTGCATGCCTGCCTATCTGTCTAGAGGAATATCGCCAGTATTGCACACATGCACATACGTGGAAGCACCTATGAGTAGTACCTGAACACATCTATGACTACATGGGTAGATACCCGAAGAAAGCCGGACTTGTTTACATGCCGCATCATACTCGTTATGAACGTATATAGAGTTGGATACATATGCCTAACATTGTCTCAGTTTACAAATACATGAATACGAACAGCCTGAACGGATCAAAACCTATATTAGTGTGGAACTAGCACAGCAGAAACGACTTCCTTGCGGCGCTTTTGCTCCAAGTTGGAGATTGCAGCGAATAGCAAATTCAATGCAAACTGCAATAAATGCTCGTGAACCGACGGGAAGACCACATGAAATCCAGCTTCACTGTCTCACTGTGTAGGAGCAATGCCAAACGGCAGACCAGCAGCGGTCCGGAGTTTTGTGTTTTATGGTTTTTGTGTTTTCGGCGTGTGTGTGTGTGTCGTGTTCTTGTGTTTGTTTGTTTCTTGTTTGCCTAAAAGACCGAAATCCAGAAACACAAAAGCAAATCCAGCCCTATGCTTCGGATAGGGTCCGGATTCGTGTTCGTTGGTTTGTTGTTGCAGTTGTTGTTGCTTAGCAGCTGTTTTGTTCGTTTTTGGTGTTTCAGGTTTTTTTGGGGGGTTTGTTTTGGCTTTACTGTATTTCAGATGCTGTATGGGATTGATGGTTACATGTTTCAGTAGTGTCTTCCTTCATGAGTTTATGTTGCGTTACTTTCTCGTAATGTAGTGCGATGTAGCTTTATAGTCCCTTACATATATAACTACATGTGTTTCTATAATACAGATGAAGATACGTGTAACTAGCATATACAGAGCAATGTGTGCAGATCAACATTATATATATATATAGAACGGAAATATGGATAAGTGTGGGTCAAAAGGGCGGGTTACCATATATACATATATATATATATATGTATATATATATATATATATATGGTCACCCCCCCATGATCTCCCTCCGTCTTTCCTCGATCTGTATAAATATACACGACGCACGCACATGCATATGTGCACATGCATTATGAACCTACACAATATACGGATAAATTGTTCATGAAGATACGTTCAAAGACACACAAACCCTAAACCCTAAACCCTAAACCCTAAACCCTAAAACCCTAAAAACCTAAAAACCTAAAACCCTAAACCCTACAGACCTCACACGCGCATGTGAGTGACCCAAGGAGGCTCCAGGAGTCGAGGCCTAAGCCGCCGAAGTGATCGAAGAAGTGCTTCAGCCCGGAATGCCCAAAGGTCAGCGCCAGGTCGACGGGCTTCGGATGACCTCACAACGAGGGAATGCGGGAGAGGCATCGAGGGAGAGGAAGGGAGCAGACATGTACCGAGATGCACATGGATGTTCATCTTGAGATCTGTAGAGATATGTATGTCCTTGTCTACCGACATAGATTGTGACGATGACACGTGTATATAAATACAAATATTCTACATACACATATACGTGCATGTATTTACTTATCTGATTATCCATATAATGGTTTGCTTACGTATTTCTATGAGCTGTACCATATGCATACACCTATACGTAGATATGTGTGTGTATGTACACGCATAAAACTACACGCATACATAACACACAGCTGCATCCTACACACATGTGGATGATCACCTCCGGCCTCAACATCCACAAGTCTTTCATGCATTTTTGCATAGGCAACGGTATCGACACCGCGTTTTATTCCTGCTGTACGAACATCCGTTTCAGCTTTGCTGTGTGTGCGTATATATGTTGGTATACTTGTTGCTGCCTGATCATAACGTTCTAGTTCTTGGATGGTGAATCACGGATGCCCCCGAATGTTGCAACTCGCAAGATGAAGATCATGACGCAGACGCCCGGACATCAACACGGCTCTAGCAGAAACCTAATCTGATCAAAGGAGCGTTTGGGCGAGAGTTCCCCCCCCCTGGAGAGAGAGAGCGAGAGACAGAGAGAGAGCAGAGAGAGAGAGAGAGCGAGCGAGCGAGAGAGATAGAGATTGATGTTGTTTGGTGGTCGGGCTAGATGACAGCGGCGCGCCTTGATCTTCGGTGTCAGTCTGGGCCTTGAGACCTAAGCCCCAGGCTCAAGGGTATGAGCTTGTTAATTTTTTCGACTATCTCAAGCACTCGCCAAGCGGAGTCTCCCCCCGAATTCAATAAGTATCACACCGATGCTGATCTCCATGCCGCTGATGTTGCTACTGTTTCGCTCGTTCTTCGGACGGCTGCCAAGTCCGACTTGCAGAGCATGCAAGCCGCAAGAACCTGTCAGGCAAAGCGTTCAAGTCTTGGAGAGCTTTAGGGCTTCTATCTACAACTCCTAGCTCCTGTGCTCTTTCTTCCCCCACTGTCGCCTGTTTCTGAGGACAGGCAGGCATCGTCCTTCTCCAAGGGAGAGGCCGGAGAGGAACCTCGAGCGAGGAGGCTTCGAGACCCAAAATTCCCTAAACCCTAAACCCTAAACCCTAAATCGAGACCCAAAGTTCGCTCTGCTCTCGGCGGGGCCCTGGCGGCCGAGTGCCAGGAGGGCGCAAGTAAAGCCCAGGCTGCGCAGTAGCCTAGAGGATCTTTCGTCGGCCCTTTTGGGGTTTAGGATGGTTTAGGGTTTAGGGTTTAGGGTTTTAGGGTTTAGGGTTTAGGGTGGTTAGGGTTTAAGATTTTTCTACTGTTGAGGCATGCCTACTGGAAGACTGCGAGAAGATGGATCTTGATCGAGGAGTTGAAGAGCTGCTTCGAAGACTTGATGTGGTGGATGCTTGAAGAAGATACACCGCAGGCAGTTTTGGCCCCAGGCAACCGCACTTCTCTCTCGTTCAAGAGTCAAGTTAATACTAACTGACCGGGATGGTCTGTGGCTTACTTGCAGGAAGGGCTTGGCAACACCTTCATTGATGTCGTGTTCTTGGAGTTCAGAGCTTCTATGTGCGGAGAATGCTCATGTGGGTAGTTCTCTGAATTAGGGTCCCTTTTTAGGTCCCAAACATAGTACGGCACTCTTATAAAAAGGACCTCAAAAGGGACCCTACTTTAGAAAACTACCCAAGTCTGAATGGCTGGCTTCCGCTTCCGCCACAGCTGCATAGGATTCTCTAAAGAACGTTGCACCATGTGCCACTAACCCAAGAGGATCTCTCCAGGCAAGCAGCATCCGGTGGTGTTTCCTTACCGGCCACTCCGCTGAATTATCGTAATATGGAGGCTGCAGGAACCTGTGCGCCCTGAGGGTGTCGGGCTTGCGCACAAAGCCAAAACAGCTGCCGAGCGAGAGTAGAACCTATGTGGTAGTATATGTTATAGTATATATTGAAGTATATATTATAGTATATATTATAGTTCATATTATAGTGTATATTATAGTATATATTGTGGTATATGAGCCTTCGCTGCACGTTTAGCAACCACCTGCGATCATCAGCGAATCACCGCGATACCGCATCATCAATTGTCCGGTAGCCTGCTCGGGCAGTGCTGGTGCAACCGGTCCTCTAGCCACTGCAGTTGCTTCTGGCTCACAGCACCGTTCAGAGGGACCCAACGAAGGTCCTGGGCACCGCAAATCAGCAGAAACGAACAAGTGTCCACACGCTTTGGACTTGTCCGGTACTTGGAGGATCATAAGGTAACTATAATTATAACCCCAATTAGGGTACTTATAACCTTACTTACTAAGTCCCATGATCCTCCAAGTAAGGTAGTAACATCTGCAGACTGAAGCCGCCGGAACTCAGTCTTGTAGTGCCAGCATGGCTACTTGGAGCTGAGTTTGTGGCAGGCCCTGGCGCGATGCCGCGTGCGAAGTCCTTCAAAGTAAACGCACAACCAATCAAGTGCGAATGCACGCATCGTTGCCATGGCTCCTGCTGCACACTATGCACCAAGCAGGCACACCAGCACTGAGTCCTCTTTCGTGATGTCGTTTGGATTGTTCGCCTCACGGAGATGCTCATGTCCATGCGTCTAAAAGTCCACCAAGCTCTCCCGTGCAGGGGACAGGCTCCGAATGATCAGAGAAACAGGCTGCGACAGCTTCACCGAGCACGCAACTTGGCACAGCTCCACGGCATATGAGTCCAACTCCTGAGCAAGGCTGTAGCGATGGTCGTAAGAACGACGAGAACCCTGGCAATGAGAATGGCAATCATCTTCGAGATCATCGACACTCATCACATCACTAGCCGCAGCGCAGCGCAACCACCATCGACACAACCGCCGTCGCCGTCAACATCACCGCCACTACCAACACAACCGACCACCACTCATCACTGCCTTCATCATAACCGACTAGACTATTGGCCGGAACAGAACGAAAATGAACAAAGAAAGAACACACAGTTGTGCACGCGTCCATATCTATCCACCTATCTATCACTGTCTATCTTCCAACCTACCTACCTACCTATACCTACCTATCTAGCTATCTACAAGTCTACCTATCCATCTATGTTATGTGTATATACTATGCATGTACAGATATACTTGCATAAACATGCACCTTTACATTGTTGTTTGCCCATATACACATAGGTCTTGTTTTTCTCCGCCTGATTTGGGTCTCCATAGACATATATGTAAAAAATATTAATATCCACAGATACATGCATACCTACTTACCTGCATACATGCGTACATACGTACGCACGCACGCACGTATGTACATCTATACATACATACATACATACATACATACATACATACATACATACATACAAAATATGTGTATTCAATGTATTTATTTTATTTATACAAAAGTTCAGTATATGCATATACACATAAATGTGTAAGTTTGCGGGGTGCGTACGTATGTATGTAAGAAGGCAAGTGTGCTTTCCCAGTCATATACGTGTGTCTATGCATGTGCGTAAGACAGATGTACAACTGGGCATTCGGAGCAGTGCAGCTGTCCCCAAAACGGAACATGGCCACAGTGAACTTCCCTCGAACGACCGAATCAACCCGGAGCTTCCAGCTTGAACTGCCCTACCCAATGGTGACCATGGAGCTCACGAGCATAATGGAGCCTTTGTGTGAACTCTGCTGGAAGTGGCGGTAGTAATAGTACTAGTCGTCGTCGTGACTTCCAAGTTGCACTCTGCGGTTTCTTGGCGTTTTCGGCGACAATTACCTTACTTCGGGGTCCTTGCAGAAAGGATCCTAGGGTTTGTACTAGTGCCCCCATGTCCTAAACTCAAGTATGTCAAGGATGCTCTTCAAGTCTTCTCAGGCGCACCGCATCGGCATCAATGCCCGGTCGAGCGCCACCGCCACTCATGATGCCTTGTTGGGGATTCGGGGCTCGCGGTGATGAGTGTGCATTTACTTATGTATGTCAGTGGGTCAACACTCCACGAACACAGCAGCAATCCTTAAAACAAATCTATCGTCCTGCGATGGGGTGCAATGCGCTGCCGTCCGTTAAGCAAAACTCAGATTGAAAGCAAAGGCTCTACATTCGTCAGACCTCACGAGTGTATGCTGGCACTGACCGAGGCATGTGCTGATCTCGTATGGATCCACCCTGGGAACTTCTTTCTCGCCATGGACACAGTGAAATTCGACATCGCACTCATGACTCAAAGTTTTGTCTGAGAGGTTCGCACACAGACTCGCCACCCATGGCTTGGGCAGAAGCCTGGAATGTAATGAAAGGTACAGTTAAATTGAGATCTTGCAGGTACAACGGTACGACCTTCTCATCGGCTACGAAACATCAATGCATCCACACATGGATTCTGTCAACCGAGTCATCTGCTGTAGTAGGAGCTTGTGCTCGAAGGAGCCTGTTCCTAAACCCTAAACCCTAGACCCAACATGCACGGCAGCATGGAGGCTTGGCTGAACTTGAATCTGGCCTCGGGATCCAGCACTGGTGGTGCAGATATCCTAGCACCAGGTACGATCTCTGTGGTCTCTTCAATCGGACCTTTGGCAGTCCTGTAGGGTTCCGAGAGCTCAGGGAGAGCAATCCCCTCCTCCATCTCTTTTCGCGGAAAATTGTACAGCTCGTGGTTGCCTTAAACTCAGGGAAGTTCGCCAAGTTTTAGAAGCCTCTCAGAATCCGAAAAGATACAGCAAGGCCCCGAACCTACCAGATGAAGCGTGGGCGGGCCGCCTTCAAGAGGGAGCAGTAAGTCCTCGTAGGCACTCAAGGCTGTAGGCTCCCAGGGAAGCTCAATTTCACGTCGGGAAGGCCGACTCTGACTGGCGGGCCAGACAGATTTTTATTACATTTATCTATAAAATATATACACATGTACACACACACACACACATATAGCATGATACTTCGTTTATATATATATATATGTATGTGTGTGCAGGTGCGAATGTCTGTATCTATAATATATATATATTTATTTATTTATTTATTTATTTATTTATTTATTTATATTTATTTATTTATACATGCGCGTATATATGTATGTGTATATATATATATATATATGTGTGTGTGTGTCTTTGATTTAACCTGTAATATAAGGACCTGATACATGCAAGAGGATTTGGAGGGTGTCAAGCACTCAAGGCATGTTTACCTCTGCCAGCTTCGAAACTGTTATCGCCCAATCGTCGCCTAAACAGTCATGACCTCCGACCAGCATGCAGTGCTAGTACAGCAGGTCGTGAAATGGAACATGCCTGAGGCGTGAGACGACCTTTCTGCTCACTTCAAGCTGTCAAGTCAGGTCATCATCTTAATCTGCCCTTCCTCTCAAGACTGACCCCAACTCCTCCCCGGGCATGTCCTGCAGGGCTTTGTGGCCATGGCCTGCCACGACAGAATTCACGAAATGTCACCTCCCTGCTTGGTAAGCTACTCTCAGACAGATGCGCGCTGCATTCTAGAGGGGGTCACGTGATTCTGCCTGCAGTAGCCCGATTGCAGCCGTCGACAAAATCGCCAAGCTGAGCGATGAAATCGACCTTCGGCCGTCTCGGATACATCAAAAAAGTATCCTCTGTGGCCAAAGAGCGATGCTGGCAGTCACTGTGCACGGCGCTTTTCTTCTCCGAGGCTCTCCAGTAGGTGCAAAGTCACTACGTAGAAGCATTCAATGCCTCAGTGCTGTACAAAATTTCTGGCGATCGCATGAGCCTTCACTCAACAGGGTAGGCGCCCTATCAACTCAGGAGGCAACGGCAGGATGACAACAGTCTGATTCAAATGTTGCTATTGCTGTTGCTAGCCATAGGGTTTAGGGTTTAAGGTTTAGGGTACCGTGATACATTCTGACATACTATGACTACATGTCACAGTACGTGATGATCAGTATGACCCATTCCGAAAAGCCGTTGCGCTGCCAACAGGTCAGGCCTATGGCCAGCTGAGGCATGGACAAAACCTGGTTCGACAACGTGGGGCCGTCAGAGGAAAGGACCAAACGGATTTAGGCTTAAAATCTAATGCTTAGGGTTTAGGTTCAGGGTTTCGGTGGTAGGATTAGAAAGGTCTTTGGTTTAGATCTCCAACAGCCGGGCAATTGCCGCATCTGCGACCAAATCACCAGCACAACAACCGCAAATTGGGCGGTAAAGTCGCTGTGCCAAGTGGCAGCCGCAGCAAGACTGTGTGCAGCTCCGGGCATCGTACCAGCCAGATCACTCCATGACGCATGGACAGCCCGCAAAGGACAAATCACCACTAGTCACTACTTCCTTATTGTGCAACGGGAAGATGTCTCCAGTCCTGTATAGGCTTCTCTTGTGACCACTCGGTGTAATTCCCGCACTACACTCTTCGGACTGACCCTGTGTCCACTGCACACAGTGAAAATCATCTATCAAAGTGTTACGACTGTAACCAAGCAATACTACAACCCGGAAACAACTAATTGCAGGCTAAGCTAGTCATGTCAAGGCGCGGGGGTGGGCTTCTCCTATAACACTGTCGTGGGTCAGCTGCTAGGTTCTTGCGCCACATACGAAGAAGCAACCTCCACTTCTGTTCTCCATTGAATTTGCCTGTGTGCGCCAAGGACACAAAACACTCTTCCATACTCTTCCGTTGCAGACAACCTTCCATGTCCCAATGCAGTCTAAAAGAATCGGCATGACGCAGCCACAGGCTCTTGCAGCTACTTGGCAGCACGGCATCTGCAGTACACCTCTGTTGACCAAACGAACTCACTTCATTGCTGCAGGCTCAGCGAAGTTCCTGGCTAAGGATATTAAAAGCATCGTCGGCGAGGTGTTTGACACTCTTGGAGTGAGCTTGTCAAAACGATCAACTCCACTTGCGTAAGAGAAGCACGACGGCAGCCGCGCTGGCTTTCTCGCATCGAACCGCCAATGTGGCAGAAGCGGAGCTTAAATTTGACTTGCAGTGTTCAGAACGATTCCGTCAGCACAGGCTTTGATTCCAACCTTCACCCTGCAAGCCGGCACCGGTGGTGATGCCATGCAAGCAAAAACAAACTGTTAGACGAATCCTATCACGTGCTGTTAGAATCGCAGGACAAGGCATCACGAAACATCCATCTTCGCGGGCTCTGCTTGGTCCTGCCACATTGTTTCTGGCTCTTTCCCTTACTCTTGAGCTCGTTCTGCTCTTCTTCTGGGTTAGATGCTTCATCCCCGCTGAGAGGAAACGTCACTTCAAAACCCTGGCATCTATGTGGAATACCGGGATCACAATTGCGCAGGTTTCCATGTGGGGATTGTTGACACCCGTCCAGGTCCATACCTAAAAACAGCAGCTAGAGTGGGGGCTGGCCGCGCCGGGATCATTATAGACACACACACACACACATGTGCGTGTGCATCACGGTCGACTGTTGCCCGCAGAACTTGAGCCTCTGAAACATTGGGTCTTTGGGTCAAGCACATCTGGTCTTCAGGACATTTCTGTGATGTTGCATCGTATGTTATGATAAGATGAAGGGTTGGAGGCGACTGCGCGAAGACTTGCGATTTGCCTGAAGCAGAATCATGGAAAATGTGGATTCGACCTGCGATCGCATCAGTCCGTTGCCGAAAATGAATTCAGTTCTTCGTGCTCTTATTATCGTCCGTGCGGCAACTTGCCCGCGGAACACCCGGACTTGAATGTTCATGCTGCATGCATGCAAGAAGATCGAAGTATACAGACAAGCCGATTGCAGTGTCGGAATTCTTCCCGGGCATTCAAGGAGTCGACATCCAAAGAACGGGTCGTTCGAGAAGATTGATTGAGGAAGTTAACATGTGCGTATATAATAGAAGAATATATATGTAAGAAGTTCAGCGCCCAAGCCGCCTGCGCAGGGCAGGAATATTGTAGGCCTCAGCACCCGTCATGGGTGCGTGTGCGGGCTACGGGCAAGCAGGGCAGTGCATAACGGCAAGTGTGCCACGCACAAGCTGGGCATTCAGGTTTTGTTCTCACCCGACATGATGGCGATCATGGGCGCACAAGACACACTGTGTAAGGTGGCCATGTTGAGCATTGGTTCGGGGGACATGCTCGCATACTACGCGCCAAATGAGTTTGCGGCTGGCTTCAAGAAGTCGCAGGCTTTTCAGACGCACGGCATCAAGCCGAACAGAGGCTCGTCATGCGAGGGCATCTGGACCACCAAACGGCAACCTGGCAGCTCATGCACGTCATCCGATGTGATGGCGCTTATGAGTTTGAAGGACATACTGTTCAGTGTTGCCTTTTTAAACATAGGTTTGGAGGACACGCTCGCGCACTTATGGAAGAGTCTGCGACAGGCTTCCAGAAGTCGCTGGCTTTGCAGCCGCGGCATCAAGCGGAGCTGAGGCCCGACAAGTGAGTTGCTAGAGCACTCTCATGTGAGTGTTGAATTCCCATGGCCTTCATGCTGTTGTTGAGTTTGATGTCCCGATATCACCTTTATGAAGGTGTTTAGACATCCTGGGTATCTCACCGTGTAGTGATGGCCCCATCTGATAGCCATGAGGAAGATCCTGCACTATGTAGACCGTATATTTGTCTGGCGCTTTGATCGTCGACTACGGAACACAAAGCATGGCATCGTCCATGTGCTATCTTTTGATTTGTTGTGGGAATGGGACAGCTTTTCCGTTTGCTCGTTACATCCCACCCCTGCTTGGTGAGCGCATACTATGTCTCTAGATTTCTGCGCCACCTCCCACGTTAGTTAGTGCATGCCAAGGGCTGCGTCGCACCGACCCTTCGCCCGAAACATTGAAAAAAACAGTGAATATAAGAGGTTCGTATGCATCTTCATATTCAAGAGAAATAACTATAGCTAGTTTTCCAAAAAAACACCACAATACGAATACTACAAATATCACTATTGTGTGTCGCAGATGTCAGTTGATTTGCAGGCAGTCCTCAACGACAACCTCTGTCAGGTTTACCAGGCGGCCCTCGTAAAGAGAGGACAGCATGGCACCTGCGCGCTGGACTTCCCAAATCATGATCAGCTACATCAAACTCCCTGAACGTCAACAAACACATAGAAGAAGCGGGCCCTTACTAAGCTCGTGTTGATAAACACCCTAAAATGTCCAGGGCACTTAGCTGGCCGTTGTTCAAGAAGAGCTGGACCACGAGTCCGGGTTGCGCAAATGGGGGCAAGATGACTTGAAGATAGCGTCCGAAGCACTGGACCGGAAAAGGCTTTGACACCTTCGGCGAAACAGCAGACTTTCACAGTAGCAATTGTAATAATGATGATAACAATAACAACAATGATCATCATCATAATCAGAATAATGTTTCAGTCAGAATCTGCATGAGAAGGAATATGCTCACGAAATGTTCAGTCTGCTTGATCTGAGCTGCATCCACACCAGCTGGAAGCATGAATGCTTGCTGCTGCATTGTGGAAAGTAAGTTTGCCAAGGCCAGCGAATCTGTCCCGAACAAGTTCCTCAGAGCTGAGAGTTCACGATGAGAACTCCACGCACTGCGGGTGGGCAGGGCTACTCTGTCAGCACTAGCAGAACATGCGCTTCCATGCACGGAACCCCCCGACTCCCTTAGCACAGCGCCTCTAAAGTCCGTTTGGGACCCTTAAAACCGGAAGAGAAAAGCAGCAACTTTTAGAAAATGGGGGACCCTAATATAGTACCCTAAATAGTAGGATCCGTATTATAATAGTATTATAAGGACCCCAAAATAAGGTACCCTAATTTTCGAAAGCGAGTTGCAGCTGCTGTCCCCAGAAGCGCCGGGGGACAAACAACTCCCGCGCTGGATCTCCGCCATCGAACTGGTAGATGTTCGATGAGAGCCTGAGAGTGGCAAGATGATATAAATCATTTAGGGTTTAGGGTTTAGGGTTTAGGGTTTAGTGGCTAAATCATCAGAGTACCCAACTTGGGTATTGAGTGTACCAGTACAGATTATGCATAGATACTAGGTTATATATGTATATCATACTTCTACCATGTCTACACCATGCAATCACGGGACCAGCCGGCGTCCTATATGGGTGGTTGTCAAAATTATGGTCCCTTTTTGAGTCCTTATTATAATACGGCACCTATTATTTAGGGTACCCCAAAAGGGACCATAATTTTGACAACTACCCATACACTTGTATCAGTAAGGCTGTTCCCTCGGCCCTAGGATGCTGAACAACTCTGCCGAGCATCTGTGCGAAGGAATCCTGAGCTCCCAAATTTAGGGTTTAGGGGTTAAGGGGTTCAGGGGTTTAGGGTTTAGGGTTTAGGGGTTCAGGGGTTTAGGGTAGGGTATGGGGTTCAGGGTTTAGGGTTTGGGATTTCGGGTTTTAGGGTTTTGGGATTTCGGGTTTTAGGGGTTTGGGGTGTAGGGTTTTAGGGGTTTGGGGTTTAGGGTTTTAGGGGTTTGGGGTGGAGGGTTTTAGGGGTTTGGGGTTTAGGGCTTTAGGGGTTTGGGGTGTAGGGTTTAGGATGTAGGGTTTTAGGAACCCTAAATCCTAAATCCTAAACCCTAAACCCTAAACCCTAAATCCTAAATCCTAAACCCTAAATCCTAAACCCTAAATCCTAAACCCTAAACCCTAAAATCCAAGAGCTCTCAAAGGAACCCCAGCCTGGCCACAGGCCAGTCAGGTGAAGGGGTGGGCAAAGCCCGGAATCCCCCTACCCAGCACCCGAGGCTGGCTGAGCACAGTACTTGGAGGATCATGGGACTTAGTAACTAGGGTTATAATTAAAGTAACGATACTTATAATTACCTTATAACCCCAATTAAGGTACTTATAACCCCAATTAAGGTACTTATAACCCCAATTAAGGTACTTATAGCCCTACTGACTAAGTCCCATGATCCTCCAAGTAGGGCACCAAAAGCAGGTCAAGATTCGTAGGTTTTCAACTCCAGTCCGTCTGCGCCATCCCTGGACCAAAACTTCACTGCTGCAGCCTCGGCTCACAAATAGGTCTCAGCTTGAGGTATATGGGTTCTTGTGGTAGCTTCTATCATCTACCCTTATAAACCCTAAACCCTAAAACCCTCAACCCTAAAACCCTGAAACCATAAATCCTAAACTCTAAACCGTGTATGTCAGCTTGAGGGCAATAGCCTCACAGCATCGCCCTCCTGACAGCGCCAAGGGATGGCGTCCGGGTGCAGGCACCTGACGGAACTCCTCCTCTGTGAAGCCTCAGCTTGGGGTTTTAGGGTTTTTAGTGCTTTTAGGGTTTTTAGGGTTTAGGGGTTTTAGGGGTTTTAGGGGTTTTAGGGGTTTTAGGGGTTTTAGGGTTTTTAGGGTTTTTAGGGGCTTAAGAGCTTCGGGGGCCTCTACGCAAACAGACAGGAGTCTTTCACGAACTGTGGAATTGCAGGTAAGGCCTACGTTCCGTGGGCCCTCTCGTCGGCCGGCTCCACCCGGTTCCTCTCTTCTTAATGCAAACGAGGGGCTGAACACGACCACGCCCTCACCTTCACACCGTTTCTACTTGGGGCCACTTTCTGGGGAGGGAGCTCTCCGAGTGTGTCTAGCTGGTCAAGACATGCGAGACGAAATCGCGCGAAACCAGAAGTGGCGTCGAGGTACCTTCCGGCGCATTCCTCAGAGATCACACCAAGCGCCCTAGCTGAAAGACAGTCTCTTGAAGAGCTCGGGCAGCATCGAACTCAAGGATGCATCCCAGGAGCACCACAATCGGACCACGCTCATTCTGCAATTCCACAAGGATGAGCAAGTAGATCTCCTGCAGGCAAAGGCTCTCTAAACTTGCTTCTCAGCTCAATGCGAGGGCCCAGAACATAGATTTCCCCCTGCAGTGCACCCAGCCGAAGACCAAGGACCATTTCCTGTAAATATAGGAGCCTTAATAATTGGAATAGGGCTTTTGGGGCATAGTATACTATGGCTATATTGAGGAACTCCCAAATAGTATTGGTATGTTTTCGGCTTCTATGCTATATAGACCCAGTACTTGACGTCAGGTCAAGAGTGGACCACGATGCGACTCTCCTGTGCATCTGGGAACGCCTCCTTCAGGGTTTGCCGCAGCCGCTGAAGTTGGCCTTCAAGTGATGGGCTACGATGCAATGTGCACCTTTCGATCCAACGGCACAGTGCACCATACCAGCCAACAAGTTAAGTTCTCGTTGCCAAGAGGCGGAGTTCGCGTGTAGAGTTGATGATCCGCACGAAGACCCGCGGGACTTTTGTCGGCACTTCTCCCAGTCCGAGGAAACGGCGAACTCGACGAGTCATGTCCTCCACTGTCAGTGGCGCCTCCAAGTTGTGGTGCCAGAAACTTCCACCCCATCTCGTCCCTCCGAAAACCACATGCTGATCCACCATCTGGTATGTTGAGTATGTCATGAAGTCTTCGAACTTCATGTCTATGCAATGGAGGACGCCCTCCAAAGAGCTGCGTGTCCAGTCAAAAGGGTACGAGTTCTTTCGAAGTCCCATAAGCTGGAGTGCATAAGATGGTGCACAGTAACAGCCAAGACTGATAAATTCGCAGCGGTTCATGAAATCTGTGGCGTGTGGTCCACACACGTTTAGACTTGATCTGCGCTCTTCTGGTGTCATTTCCGGAATGAAGCTGTAGCCTTTTTGACCGCTGGGATCCTCGGCTGCCGTACACTGCAAATATCTGGGTGGAGCGAGGCTGATGGCGACGATTAAGCTGCGACTGGGACGCTTCGAGGTGAGCATCCCATGGTTGGTTGGCTACCTGATGGGCCTGTGATGTGCCAGAGGCAGCCTGAGCAGCCTGTATCGCGGCACAGGCCTGGCAAAGATATCCACACGCTTTTTGCCACGGCCGTGCAATTCACATGATTTCTGCTACGACAAAAAACTCACGTCGAGTTTGGAAGCTGCTTCCTGCGCTTGGACGCTGCCATGGTCGACCACGGAGGCAACAGCCGCCTCTGCTGCAGCAGCGACTGCAACGACCTGCAGCACGCGGGGGTTCCTTATTATAACTCTAGTGTAATATACCCCAAACCCTAGTCTAATTATTGAGGCCCCTATAGTATCTGCGGCTTGCCCCGATGTTGGCTCCTGGCAGCGCACATCCAACTACTTGCCAAGATGCTGCAGCTCCAGCTGCTACTGATGCTGTTGCTGCCAACGGGGTGGTGGTGTCCTGGCTTGGAACATGGGCAACACCCACTACCCACCGCTTCAATGGTGCGAACATTGTGAGTTCATGCGCGGGTGTCATTTCTGAAAGGTCTTCTGGCCAAGTGGCTGTCACTCCAGCTGCTACCGAAGCGGTTGCTGCGAATGCCTCTGGAATCTCTGTAGATGCCGCCGCCATGAAAGTCTAGATTTTGATTCAGTTGCGTCTTGAGCCATCCAGCCACAAAAGCACAGTCATTCAAAGATCGCAAGAAGTAGTCGATGACAAGACACAGCGGTTGTCTCGATGCAGACGCCGGATCTTCTGAAACCGACTTCAAGACCTATCATCATCGAGCCTGTTCTTCACGAAACCACCTGGAAACCCAAAATGACAGGTTGGCACGCACTGGACACGTGATAGGTTCGGACGTAGGATGTAAGGCCTGCGCTGCACAGCTCCTTCCCACAGCCTCTTCGAAGTACGGTAGCGCCTGCATGCCAAACACAGTGCTGAGAAGAGCTGGGTTCCTGTGGTGCGAGAGCTGCGGCCTGAGACGTGACCCTGAAAAGTTTAGAGCATCATCACGGTCAGCATACCTCCAGCTGCAGGGGGCAGTTTCGAGAGACAGGCTCATGAAGCTACAGCAGAAGAAAGGTCCCGGGCTGCACGTCTGCAATGATTCCAAAGCTGAAAGCCGGTGGAACCTGGCCCATGCAGCGGAGTCACAACTGCCATTCATGGCCTTCCCTACCGCTACCATCCTTGCTCTTGACCAGCTCAAATCTCTGGTCGCCTGGTGTAAGATCTCTCAAATCTAAGTCGCTTGAAGCCCCTGCGATGAACCAGCGAGCAAGGTTGCTTGCAGCACATGCAATCATCAAACCCCCCTTCGAAGATCGAGGACTTATAGCTTAAGACGTAATTCCCAACCCCAAACCCCCAAACACCTACATCCTGAATCCTAAACCCCTTTAACCCCTAGCCCCCTAAATCCTAAACCCTAAACCCTAAACCCTAAGCCCCTAAATCCTAAACTCCCTAAGCCCCTAAATCCTAAACCCCCTAAACCCCTTAATCCTAAACCC